CAGGTGTGTGTGTGTGTGTTGATACGCTTCCCTTGGGATCCTTGGGCCTTGCTTCTGTTTCGGAAATCCAGTCTCGGTGTCTTTCACTTCACTTTTGTCGCCACAGAGCTCTCTCAGGGAGGCTGCATGAGCTCCTTCCGATGGAACAGAGGTGGCGATTTCAAAGGACGCAAGTGGGATACAGACTTACCCACAGATTCGGCTGTAAGTTGGGGTCTCCTTTTGTTTTTCCAGTTTTCTCGTGTTTATTTCAATTGGATTTACGAGTATGTTGTGTAGGTTTGGCTTTGATTCATGATGTGTGTTAATGATGTGATTAACAGGAAAGTAGCTATGCCCTGCTTTTCGAAGGTTGCTGTGAAAAGCCAATAATGGGGCTCAGCTATTTAGGAACTAGTTGAAGGAGGCCTTTCCACGCCCACACATACCCACACACTGTCATTTTGTTGATTATTTCAGCCTTTTCAGCTGACAAAGAAGCCATCCTATCAAAATAGAGACTCATCTGATGTCCCATAGAGAGTCTATTTTCAATGATGAGTGGAGTGTTTGAATTAAGCTAGTCTCACCTCTTGTACCGAATTTCTATTAGATTTAAAGAGTGGAAAAGGATTCTGAGTTGTGAATTTGTTATCCTTAGAGGAAATAAGACTCCGGACGGAAAGAATTGGGATGCTATCGGAATTGTTTTTTTGTACTGTTGTTCTGTAGATTTCACCTCTTAATTATTACTACTTGAGAATTACCACTGCCTGCTTCCTTTTTAGGGAAAAAGTAAAATACTGAGTCATTAGGAATACAGGTGTTGTTACAGGCCCCATCCAGGTTAAATATCTGTGCTAACTTGGAAAAACTGTCTCCCATCTTCAGATCATCATGCATGTGTTTTGCACCTACCTTGATTCCAGATTACCACCACACCCTAAGTACCCGGACGGAAAAACGTTTACATCCCAGCACTTTGTTCAGACACCAAATAAACCAGGTACCAACCTCTCCTGAGAGAGTGAGTTGCGATCTGTACACGAAGGCTCTCTCGTGGCTTCGTCTTGTTGTTCAGAACTACTACACAGCTAGACATACACCCCTTCCACATTGTCTGTAAGTGCAATTTAGTGACATTGAGTTTACGAAGTTCTGCCACCGTTCTCGCCCTCCTCACTCACCCGGGTTATTCCTCCCTCGTTAGCATAAACTCCCTGTCCCTGAAGGTTCCTATTTCATCTTCTATCAATTTCAGTCATGTGGGTAGTAATGCTCCCGGCAGGCCTTTTCTACGACAGTAGCTAACTTATTGGTCAGGTTCTAGAAGATTTCAGGGGATATTTTTGGTATTTGGTTTAAAGGTTATCTCAGGGCAATATTTTCAGGGACTCATCTACCCACCATGACTTTGAAATTCCGTTGTACGTTTTCCCCTTTTGATCAGGATTCTTCTGTAGAATCTTTAACCAAAATCTTCAGTCATGGGTTTTGGAGTGGAGAACCGAAGCCCATCTGTAGACAATTGGACATCCCCCCACAGAAGGGTTACAAGGAGGGGACAATTCAACCAGGGTGCAGTATAGTGCGACAAAACACGCATCATACCTCTAGTTCCTTAATGCTTCCCCACCCCCACTACCATGACTCAGTTCTACCTTACAAATCTGGCTAGACCAGAGTACACACATTAGTTTCAGTGGAATTCAGGACAGATAAAACCCTCAGGAACAGTAGTGGAAGTAGCACTATCATGAGGGTAGGGGGGTGATGGGGGTGGGGGTGTTAGGGGAGAAAGGAGGAACCCATCACAAGGTTGGATATGTAGCCCACCCCCCCAGGGGGACGGATAACAGAAATGTGGGCCAGGGGAGACAGTGTACAGTGTAAGACACAAAATAACAATAATAATATATAATTGATCAAGGATTCATGAGGATTAGACAGGTGGGGGTTGGGGTAGGGGAACAAAGAAGAGCTGATCCCAAGGGCTTAACAGAGAGAAAATGTTTTGGAAATCTTGATGGCAATGTATGTACAAGTGTGCTGAATACAATTGAGTGACGGATTATTATGAGATATGTAAGAAACCCCAGTAAAATGATTCATAAATTAAAAAAAGAAAGAAATTTTAAAAAACCCAAAATTTCAGTCATGATATCTATTGGGTACCATTCATTCAGTTCTTCTGGCCTCTTAACAAAGGGGGCGAGGAGACACCTAAGTACACATTCCATATCTTCCTCCTATTCCTGGCTCCTCCTCTTCCTCTCTGCTTCCATGTAAATAGAGATCCATCGTTGTGCCTTGGGGTGGCCACTCACCAGCTTTTGAGAGCCCAGGCGTGTGCCCCGGGTCACAGATAGAAGCACTCCTAGGCCCCGTCATTGGATGGCCCATGAAACCACAACCCTGTACCTCCAAACCGAGGGACCAGATCCCATGAGGTGTTTGGTTGGACACTGGTAGCCTCGGGAGCTATTCTTTGTGTTAGTCTTACTGTAGACGTATCGTATTTACAATTTACCTTACAGGTGTGCAGCTTATTGACAGTAATTCTAATCCTTCCTTATTTAACCTTACGCTTACTTGATGCAATTTTCCCATCGTTGCTCACACCCACCTCCCCTGTCTGGAAACCCCTGAGCTACACATGCCTTTACACAAACGTGAGATGGTGGGATATCTGACTTTGGGTGACAGACCGACTTCTCTCAGGAGGATGCCTTCAAGCCTCCTCCTGTACAGAAGAAGTCAGTCAACACTTCATCCCCCACTGGCTGGAGAGCGTTCCAGTGCTCGTACATACGGTCCGTCTTGTCTCTGGTCGCCTGTGGGTGGGCACTTGGGTAGTCTCCTCCTGGAGCGCAGCAGTGAGCACTGGTCTGTTTCCCTCCCTGCCTTCCCGGGCACACCTCGGAGTCGCATTGCTGGGGCATGGGGCTGTCGCATTGCTCCTCTGGGGGAAAGTGCCACCGTGTTGGGCAGGGACTGTGCCATGTCACAGTCCCACCAGCGGTGTGAGGTGGCCTCCTCTCTTCATGTGGGGTCTTCCTTTGCAGATGTCACCAACGAGAATGTATTCTGCATTTACCAGAGCGCCATCAACCCCCCCCACTACGAGCTGATCCACCAGCGGCATGTCTACAATCTCCCGAAGGTACTTCTCTAGGAGGACGTTTCTCTTCTGGAACGTCAAGGATGACTTGCTCTGGCTTTGTTTTTAATTGTTTAATTAGATTCTCTCGTTTCTGGAATCGGCAAACTTTTTAAATTGAAAATGCTGTGCCATGAATATTCCTTTTTCTTTAAACTACAAAAGTCATATAAAGTATAAAGAAACAGGAGAAATCACTCAGCCCATTACTCAGGCAGCCACCGTGAACATTATATTCCTTTTTGATAAATTGCATTTTGGTCTTCCTCTGTGTTCAAACTCTACTACTGTTTATGTAGTGCTAATGTCCTGCCTTTAAAAATTAACTTTACAACCTAATTTTCCATGCCATTAAAAGTCTTCATAAAAATACTTTTTAATGACCATTTTTTAAAGAGCTTCACCATAAGATGATAGCATCATTTATTCAGCCATTCCCCTGCTGCTGGGCCCTTTGGATGGTTCTAAATCGTTGCTGTTCTGCGTGCTGCTGAATATTCATCTTTATGCATAAAACAATTGCATTTTCTGTAGCTTGAAGTTCCAAAAGTAGAATTCTAGGTCACAAAAATGTTTTCCAAGGTTTTAAAGTGTGAGGGAGTGAATGAATGTTCCAATTATTTTTATAAAAGTTCCCAGATGATTCCTATTGGTGATCATTATTGAGAGTCTGTGAGCTCTTTCTTCCATGGGCTACTCTGTCTTTCTAACTCCAGGGGCAGAACAGTGAGAATCTGATTAGCTAGGTCTCTGAGTTAGTAGGCTGTGAATTAGCAGCTCTGTGTGCACGTACCAGATTGGCCAGTTGGTTGGTTTGGTGTGGTTTAAAATCCTACTGTCTCTGTCGGTCTGTCTTCCAGGGCAGAAATAACATGCTCCACACCCTGTTGATGTTCCTCTACGTCATAAAGACCAAGGAGTCGGGAATGCTTGGGTAGGTGTCTATGCAAGCGCTTCACTTCTTTATGCCGTTTCTTCCTGGGTCAGGATGGCACGGAAGGCAGCGTCAGATACTGACAGGGTTTGTGGTCTGCATGGCGAGAGACACAGCGTGTAGACTAGTGCTGTCCTGAGCCAGTCCATTAGCCCTTCAGAGCCGCCAGTTCTTGCCCTGCCCACATCGTTGCCTTTCACAATGTATTGCCCGGAGGGCCAGCTCAGAAGGCTGTGTGGCCGGCTCCATCCACTGGCCTGGTGGTGGCTTTTCCCAACTCTCCATTTCTGACACACAGCCTCTTGCGAGATGCTCACACTGCAGAGAGAGGGCTCAGGACCCACCCCACACTCTTGTAAACTGGGGCAGGCAGACTCACCTGACATTGCTTACTCCGTACTCAAAACAGGCGAGCTGTCCTTACAACAAATTCAGAAGTGCTCCATCGCTATTTGTATTAACTGCAAGTTTCATTGTGTCAAATCATGTTTGGAAACCAGTGGAGCCCAGCTAGAATCTTCTGGAAATGCGGAGAGGGCCTGCAGAGGTGGCTCTGGGTTCAGCCCTGCTCTCCATGTCTAACCAGCCACATGTCCCCACAGGAAGGCCTTGGATTGGCCACTTGCTCCTTTACAGGGCCGTCCGTGCGCCTCTGGGAGCTTTGTCCTTCTGATTGCCTGAGGGCTCCAGGCGGTGGTATGCTGCCAGGCAGAAGCCGCCAGCCACCTGGGGCAGTGAGCTCTCAACAAAGGCCCTGTGCCAGTGGAGATGCCCAGTAAGTGCCAACACGGAGACCCCTTGTTGCTGCTGTCCATCAGCTTTGTCCATTCTCTCAATGTGTGGGATGCATTGCATTCAGTGAGCAATTGAACTCATACAGTGGATCCTTATTACTCACAGAGCCCAGATTTGCGACTTCACCTGCTCCGCTAAAATCTACCTCACCCTGAAAGGAATGCCCCAGTTCTTTGAGGGTTTCCCCATTCCTGGCGCTGGCGGCGGCCAAACAAGGTCTGCCCTCAGACGGTCAGCTGGATCCTGCTCTGCGTCTCCTCGCCCGCTGCGCTCGAGCTGCACGGGCAATGACTTGTTGGGCAATTTCCCGGGCACCCAGCCTTGGCTTTCCCCTGCGGAGAGGCTGGTGGGTGTGAACTGCTGACCTTGAGGTTAGCAGCCCAGCACCGACCTGGTGCGCCACCGGGGCTCCTTGTGGCCCGTTCACTGCAGGATTTCCCATTGCTGCGCTTTTGGTTGGGGGCCTCGCTGGTTTCAAAAGGTCTCCTGGGCGCAGCGCTGAAGTACTGTGTGGCCCTGTGGTTAGGGAAGCTGCCCACCCACGTGGGGGCCCTGCCACAGGCTGCAAGCTCAGTGTTAATGAGCACACAGTCGCTGTTTGAGGTCTTTAAAGAGAAACACCCAAGCCAGGGTTCTGGATTGATTGGTAGATGAAAATGTCGGCAGAGACTCCCGGGAAGTCGACCCCCTTGTGTCCCAGAGCAGTGGTCCCAGTCCGCTAATCCCATGTCTGCAGAGATTCCATAGGACTGACCTGCCACAAAGGAGCCCTGAGGGCAGAGTGCATTCTGCCCTGACTGCCAGCCAGAGGTCAGCCGGAGAAACCCAGATGAGCCTTTCTCCTCCCCCAGTGACCGTTCCGGGAACTCACAGGACACTTGGACCCTGCCCTGTGCGGTTGCTCTCAGTCAGGATTGACTCCAGTTAACTAACACAAATGACTGCACGATTTAAAATAATTGTACCTGACTTTTTTATTAGTATTAAGTATCTAGTAGAAAAATCGCAGTGACTGACAGGACTTTCAAGTGTGACAGACATCCACTTCTCAGGAACAGCCCTGCTCTGGGGAAAGCAGAGTTGTTGCCCTCACACAGCAGCTGCAAAAGCCAGAAACAGAAAGGGACTGAACTTTACAAACAAAGACACTTCTTTCCTACCCTCTTTTCTTGTAATGTGAGGGAAAAGGAAATTGGAAACTCACTTTTATGACACATCTAAACCAACACGGTTCTTGGGGGGACAGGACCAATGAGGGGTACCCCCAAATGGAATTTTTTTAAGCTATGTATTTGAATAATTCAACAAAACAACCTTATTTCACCTTCAAAGCACTCTCCATTGCACTTATGACATTTGTCAAATCTGCAATTCCATTCTTGAAAATATTTTTCAAACTCATCTGTGTGGATGGCTGACAGCACCTCCCTTCATTTTTTTTTTTCTTTACCGCTTCCACGGCCTTCCATGTCCCTCTTCATTCTCGGAAACAAAAAGAAGTTACAAGGAGTGAGGTAAAGTGCGTGGGACAAGAGAGGCAGGCTGTTTTTTGCCCAAAACTAGTGCACTGAGATGGCTGCACGAGCAGGTGCATTGTCGTGGTGGCAAAACCAGTCCCCCATCGGCCACAAATCAGGCCTTTTTTGTGGTGCATGGTTACACAATCTTCTCAGAACCTCTGACTAGAAAGCTTGATGAACAGGCTGACCAGTGGAGTGAAGTCCAGTGCATACGAGCCGGCACTCCTGCCCACTCGGGAAGCTGGAGGACGTCCAGAATGAGGTTTTCATCCGTCGACATCTTACCTTTTTTGAAGCAAGGAAACCACTCGTGCACTCGAGTCCCTCCCATAGCACTGTCCTTGTAATCTGTGATCAGCGTCACAGCAGTTTGTGCAGCATTTTTCCAGAGCAGGAAGCAAAATTTCACGGTCACATGCTGTTCTTTTAAATGGGCCGTCACAAAAAAGTGAATGTTCGAGTGAAACGGCTTTTATGAAAAAATTCACTGTGACCAGAGGGAACCTTCCCAGGTGACGCCACTGGGTGCACTAAGAGCAAGCTGCTCGATGCTCGCCTAGCAGGAAAAATGCACCCTATGAAAGCTTCCCCCAGCAGAGTTTTTCCTTTTTTGGGGGGGGGGGACACCCCCTCATGGGTATATATAAATATGTCATTACCAAAAAAGCCATTTTCAGTATCAACACATTTAGAGCAACATATAAGTAGAAACTGAAAACTCCCCTGTGGCCACCCTCTCGGTTCTGCTCCCTGAAGGGCCAAATGGTGACGGGAGAGGTGATCTCCGGAGGAGGAGGTGGGTTTGGGTTTTCGTTTCAGTCTTTGCTTTTAGGACCCGAATGACCACAACGTATTTATTACTCAGTGGCCTGCGTTTTAATTCTCTGGTGTAGCTTAAATGTTTTCCCATGTCAATTTGACACACATCAATTTTTTTCCCCCTAAAATTTCTAGGACTATTTATAAATGCAGGCATGGATAGATAAGAAGATGGAATCATGTGTACATACATTGTCCTCTAATTTTTATCAGTTTCTCTCAGGAGCAGTTTTGAAGCGAAACATTGATTTAGGAACGTTTTACAATGAGCTGCTCATCTTTCAAAATTTTTCATGAACAGTTTCTTTCCCTCTATAGCTCCACATGGATATTTCGATGCATAAATCCCTTGTCATGTGCCCCTGAAGCTCGTGTCCTGCACACAGTTTGCCCCGTGTCTGGGAATGAGGAGATTTGAAAAGTACTTGAGGGAGGGGCTCACGTCTCTTCAGAGGCCGGAAAGACCATTGTTGGCCATTTTGATGTGACTGATGAATACATTCTGAAATAATCAAATGGCTCAAAACTCCTCACCTATCATAGAAAGGAAAGAAAGGGCTGGTTCAAATAGAGTTCACTGGGAACCCGGCCCACAAAGCAGCAGATTGCTCCAGACGTGGGGTGAGAGCAAGCCAGGCATTGATGCCGTCCCTGCAGTGAGCTGATCTCACAGCCAGGCCACAAAACACAGCAGAACTGACAGCAGAGTGAAGTGCTTGCATCAGCACAAGACTCAAGGATCCGTAAATAAGGCTCAAGGATCCACTGAAACAGGCGTGAGGAGGGGAGAAGGCAGTGGAATAGGGTGTAGTTTGAGATACAGTAATGATGTACAACTCGGTCGTTGGCCGCATCTCTGGTAAGCAGAGAATGCCTAGTTCAAGTCTGCCAGGAGAATTCTCACAGGGCCCCACCACTCAATAGCTGCCACGCTGTACATTTAATTTAGACTTCCATCTTGCTTCTGACTCGAATTGTTGGCACTTGATTATCTGCTAGCACTAGTTCTAGAAGTCCACCGAAAAATTACATTTTCAGCCCTCTGTGAATCTGTGTCCTGGGTTTGGGTTTTACACACCGTGTCAGTAAGAAAGTGAGTCCTGTTGTAGAATTCACTCAGGACACCTGTGTAACAAGTCCCTGCAGAACACATAAGCACTAAGTGCCTCCAAGCTCGGGTTCTTTTAAGCATTTAATTGTTGGGAAAAATCCTTACTACTTGATACGCATGTCCACTAAAACTCTCCTCTCCCCCCCCCTCCCTTTCCTTTCTGTAGGAGAGTTAACCTGGGCCTGTCCGGCGTGAATGTCCTCTGGATTTTTGGCGAGTAACGGTCACTTCCTTCCAAATACTGGGAATTTTTATGCAAAGCAGAAGTTGAACCTCAGCGTCTCGTCCATCACTACTCCTGAAATTGGTAGATGTGTATATGTGACAAACTCTTGAAGTAGAAAATGAGCTACTCTGAAACTTCCTTGTAGAAATGGATCCTCTATCTTCCTCACCACGGAAGCCATATCAGCTGCCTTTAAACCAAGGTTCTTCCCACATTAAATCGTAGGTGTCTTTTCTGTTCTTGGAACCCTGAATGCCATCTTCACCAACCAAAGAGACACGTGTTTTCCAGTCAGGTTGCATAATGTAAACACTCAGAAAGAAACAAGCCGACCGCTCATGTGATATTTGGATCTCTGTGTTTTCCCAGCCTTCTGAAAGTCAGCCATGGGCTCGTGGAAAGAAATGAGATTAACCCCCGAGTCATGCAATTTAAAATCTGACTTAAAAGAAGTTTGACAGTGTTGGCAGTATTGGAGTAAATGTAGCTGGTAGGCTGAAATTGAGGCTTCAGTAAAGGGGCCGTCCTTTACTAAAGCTCCAGCTCCGTCTTCAGTAATGTTGTGTAAGAATATAGTGGTGTTCTGTCTAAAACATTCAATTGTAGTCAAAAGGGCCACTGTGAGAAGTTAGCCACGCTTGTACATTTTGCTCCACTCCCGGTCCTTACTTTCTCGTCTCTAAGGCTAGGCCACAGTTGTGTTTATCTACTTTTGATGAACGTACTATTCGCGGCCTGCTCCCATCACCTTATGGAGCCTGGAAACCGCCAGCAGCGCTATCTTCTGAGTAACTGTCGGTCTGCACGCCCTTTTGTATCACTTGTAAAGCCTGTCTTTCAAAGAGTTGTTCCTGTTCTTGTATAAGTTGGGTGGCCAAGAGAAAGCAAGATGCTGGACTCCCTGCCTTTTCACTGGTGGTTGCGATGCATGTTAAATAAGGGTGTGAAGGTCTTTGGAAGGACGTCGACTAACCGTTAGAAAGTAAGAGCATGTTATCCCCGAAGTCTCCACTGTAACGCGCTCAACAACAGTCGCTGTGCTGTCAGGCTGTCCTGCCACATCGCCTTTTTTAAAGCAATAAAGAGAAAAGTTTTAACAGTACACCGGTTATTGTCTTCTTCAGAGGACTTGTGGTCACTGGGTGTGATGATTCAAAGCTAGAGTTTCAGTTATTTAAGTGGCTCTCCCAAAATTACCACGCCTGGAAAAGCTACTTGTGAGCATACCAGGGGCACAGCAGGGGAAGAGACTGTTTTGCACACCTACAAAGGACGCTCTGCATTAGCCCTCTGAGTGTGCAAGCCCACAGGTGTGTCAATCAGCAAGTAGCTTTTACAAGCAGCAGCTCTGGGAACCGGCTGAGTGTGCACCTTGGGAAGTGGGCGCACCTCCGGGTCTGGTAGCTGTGGGTCCTTCTGTGCGAATGACCTTGTGTGATTTATAGGGTAGTTGTCACTACGTGCGTCATCCTGATGGGATCAGACGTGCTAACCTTCCAGACTGCTCCCGCAGCATTTTCTTCTCTGTCCTTCATGAATGCCAGCCTCCACTGGAGCCAGGTTATCTTTAGGGGCACGCTCGGGGCGTTTCCAGTTTCTCAAGCAGGTCTATACATTCAATTGGCATTCTCACCTGTGGCTTTCTCCCCGCTGAGGAAGACTACCTTCGTGGTGACACCCCCCCAAGGAAGGTGGCCCTTCTGAACTGCCCCAGAGGTCCTTTAGGTGTGAACATCCCTTGGGGGCTGCACTTGCCCTCGGGGTCCCTGTTCACAGTACAGAACCAGTCCAGCTTCCTCTGTTCCCCCTGCCCCTCCCCCGTGTTGGACCTGGGGCTTCTCCCCCAAGACCTGGGCCCACTTGGCCCTGCAGGCTCCAGCAGAAAGGGGGTCCACATCTGCCAAGCAGCCCCTCCGCCCACGTCCCTGTCCCTGTCCCTTGTCCTCCCGGTTGCCCGTGCTCAGAGCCCTGCTGTCCTCCTGGAGTCCTTGAGCTCCCAGGGTCCCCAATCCAATCAGGCGGCAAACCTCATCCATTCTTCCTTAACAATGTCTCCCGCAGCTGCCCCGCGCCAGGCCTGCTGGGCTGCACTCATTTACACCCTTATCAGCTCACACAGGACTACTGCCCGGCCGCTTCATCTCACAGCCTCCAGACTTCCCAATTCATCCTGCACATCCTCTTCAAATTCATCTTCCGGAAACACCTGTTTGCTCGTCTCATTCCCCTGACAAATTCCTGAGCCTGGCATTAAGAGCCCTCCACAATCTGGCCCCAACCTGGCCTCGTCCCCCTAAATCTGGCAGCCGCCCCGCTGAGCAGCCTGCTGGGTCTTCGGTTTGCCTCCTGCTGCTGCTCCTGATCGCTCTCTGGGGATGCCCCCGCCGTTCCACCTCCTGCCCGGCCCGAGACGTTGCTCTAATTAAAACTGCCATTTGGAGCTGCTCCTACCCGCTCCAGCTGGAAGGCCATGAGCCCCCGAGTGATGAGGTCTGCGCCGCGGCATTGGCACGCAGCAGCCGTCCGGATGGTGCTGGGGTGATGTGGTCTCTAACAGGCTGCTCTCCCCTCTCTCACACGCAAGATAACAACTGATTTTTGAACTTGGCAATGCTGCTGCTCGGCAAGACTTAAGGGTGGCTAATGTCAAGAACTCCAACAGCGAATTGCATGGGCAGATCTGCAGGAAAGAAAAGAGATGGTACACTTTGAAGACTGAGGTGCCTCGGCCCAAGCCATGGCCTTTTCCAGTCGCCTCCTATGTATGGAGAAGCTGGATAGTGAATAAGGGAGACCGAAGGAGGATGCTGGAGAATCCAGTATACAGCAGGGACCGCCAGGAGGGGACCAAGCCTGTCTTGGAAGAAGTACAGCCAGAAGGTTCCCTAGAAGGGAGGAGGCCAGACTCTTCGGTACTGCGACAACGGTATGGGACCACATCTGGCCTCGTCCGGCTCCCAGAACTGATTGCTACAAGGCAAAAGTCAGACACTTGCCTTCACCCTCCATCCCTTCTTACACTGTTTCGACATCTGCCCCACAGGGGTCCCTGGTAGCACAGTGGTTACTAACCACAAGGTCAGCAGTGTGAGGCCAGCAGCTGTTCCTTGGGGTGGGGGAGGGAAAGAGGGGGCTTTCTACTCTCAAAGAATTTCAGCCTTGGGAACGCACAGGGGCAGTTTCACCCTGTGCCAGCGGGCTGCTAAGGAGTCCGAGTAGATTCTGTGGCCGTGAATTTGGTTTGGGTTTGATCCCTTCTACTTCGGTGGCTGGGTTCGATAACGGCAGTGACCACACAAAACTCACAGATGATGCTGACACGTATGGGGTTTGTTAGGGAAGTTAACGGTAAAGTTCAGGTGGGACATGTTCAAGAACATGTATTCAGTCAGGACAGTTTCTTTTCTGCTGTGCACACAAAACAGGCCTCTGGCCCACAGTCCCCTGGCTTGCTAACGAATGCCCAAAGGGCATGCCACTCCACTCTGAAGCCACAAGTCAGCCTCCGGCACCGAGCACTCAGCTTTGCTTCCTCTGTGGGCTGGGAAGCCCATCGGTCTGGCTCATGCTCTGCAGCTGCTGCTGCTCTAGCGTCAGAGCTGTCTCGTGGATCAAGGAGCTTCGGTGCACAGGAGTCTCAGGCTCCAAAGGACGTGCTCCACTCCGGCCTCTGCTTCTTACTGTTTTGAAACCCCCCTTTCTGGAGGCTCCTGAGCTGGCTCACTTCATACCCAGCAGGGTGGCACTCAATCATTCCCACTCTCAGCTGAATCCTAGAATCCAATCAGTATCTCTCCAGCCTCCACCCACCCACCTTCTTACCCGGATCCATCAGGGAAATGAATGCTGTTTGGTGGGAGTCACAAAGATGGGGGTGAGAAGTGCTACACTGCATTGCGGGTACTTGGACATGCTCTCAGAGAGGAAGACCAGTCCCTGGAGAAGGGCATCCGCTTGGGAAACAGAGGGACCCTCAATGAAGTGGACTGGCATAGCCCCGATTGTGAGGGTGCTATGGGACCAGGGAGGGCTTTTTCCGTTGCACATGGGCTGTTAGGAGCCACAATTCACTGGAAGGTACCTAGCTGCAACGAGGTTCTCCAGGGAAAGCCTGACACTTGCAAGGGGGCACCCTTGAGCTGCCAGACCCCCGACTCCTGCTGTGAGGCCTGATGGCCAGGAAATCTCCCCAGGCCTCCGCAGGACAGCGGGCACCGCTTACCAAGTGCTGAAGGACACAGCAAACCCTTCTGTGCCCTTTGTCCTGAAGCCCTGTCCCTTCTCACTGACCAAGAAACCTGCCCCTTCCTCTCCCCTTTTTTCTTATTAAATGACCACTTTACTGGGGGCTCTTATGGCTTTTCTAACAATCCATACATCAATTGTATCAAGCATATTTGTATATATGTTGCCATCATTATTTTCTAAACATTAACTTTCTGTTGAGCCCTTGGTATCAGCTCCACCCCGCGTGACTCCCCCTTCCCTGAGCTGCATCCTGAGGAGGCAAGGCAGGCGGGGCGGGGCTGCACAGGAGCAGCAACAGAACGCCTCCCTCCCGCAGGGGCTGTGTCCACCAGCTAGGGACACTGCGCTGGTTGTGGCTCAGCATCCTGGGCTCCAACTCCAGAGAAAGGCCCCCGTGCTCCTCCAGGGGAGAGGGACTTGGGTACCGGCCACCCTGACCGGGGAGAAGCCGCCTTGAGAAAGAAGGGACAGAAGGCAGTCTGAAGTCAAAGCACCAGACCCCAAACCCAGCGGTTTGAGAGCCCATTCTCTGGCTCCCTTCTCGAGTTTGTGGGCCGCTCTTGAAAAACACAAAATGCAGCCCTCAGTTTCCGTTGATGGGAACTTGAAGGTTAACTGCACATGCTAGAAGGCGGTCTCTCTTGAAAAAAGACGCCACATCATCTCTGTGGAACCAGAGGCATTCTTTCATGTTTAAGCTGGTACCTTTTCCTCCTCCCATTGCCCGGCCCCCTCACCCACCTCCGTGGCTTCTCCTGGTGAGGACTCCACAGGAGTCTCTGGCTCCCGTCTCTCGGGCCCTGTCTGGACAGGGGCAGTGCTGCAGTAATGCCTATGGAAACGGCCAGCCTCCAGTAATAGGAGACTCGCAAACAGCAGAGCTTGTTAGCCTGAGTTCCTTCAGGTCAGGTGTGTGAGATGCTCACTAAATACCTGGTATTTGTGAAACGAACAGCTGGGCTACGTAGCCAGCATTCACCTGGAGAGCAATTATTTTAACGGACTGGGTTTAGGATGAACACGCCTCTGGTGGCCTAGTGGGTTTCACATTGGGTCGCTCCTCACAAGGCCAGCAGTTCAAAACCACCAGCTCCTCCACGGGGAGAAAGATGGGGCTTTCTGCTCCCCTAAAAACGTACAGCCTCAGAATCCATAGGGTTGCTCTATAACATGAGAGCCAGGGAGCCGGTACCAACTCACAGCAGCCCTATAGGGCAGAGTAGAGCCACCCCTGTGGGTTTCCAAGACCTAACTGCGGGAGTGGAAAGCCACATTGTTCTCCCAAGGAGCGGCTGGTGGTTTCAAACTACAGACCTTGTGGCTAGTAGCAGCTCAACTCAACCACTCAGCCAGAGTGCTCCCTTTGGTTTGTGAGGCTGTAAGTCTTTACAGGGGCAGAAAGCGTTATGCTGGGTCCCTTTGGGGGGCCAATACTCACCGGGGCTGGGCTTTGGTTGGTCTCACGCCATTCTGTGCGTAGAATCGTGTTTCTGACCCGACACGTTCATTTCTGTTTCTTCTTCTTTCTTGCTCCATGGGGTCTAATGCGTACCATCCAGGCCAGGCTGTGCCCGGTGCCCCCACAGCCTCCAGGCTCCTCCTTGTCCTGGGCTGGGCTGGGGAGGTCAGGTGAGCTGAGCTTATCAGGGTAGCAACCTCAAGAGCAAAGAGCTGGAGTCTTCTCATTCTTTGAGGGAAAGATAGAGGCTAACATAGCGAATCCTCAGGTACCTACGGCGTAAGGTTATCATATCTTTATATTCTGGCCTGAACCTGTGTCGTTGTTGTTGTTTTTAAGAAATTAAGACCACCCAAGTGTTGACCTTTCTATGATGCCCCCGGAACAGAGCCACA